CTTAAAAACCTGCTTCCTGTTGACTAAGATACCACCCACATCACTTCTGAGGAGTAAAATGTGATTAGTAAGAAACTACACAGAGATCAATAAGATCACACACAGCCTTCCACTGAGAAACAGAAAATGGGGTTGGGTGCGCTCAGCAGATGGCGTTGACATCGTCACACCTCCCTTCCTAAAAGAATTGGGATTGGGTGTGTTCAGCACATGGCATCGACATCGTCTCATTGGCAAAGTGCTAAGAGGTCAGTCGGTATAAGTACCTGGGTTGACTGACTGATAGTAATTTGTGCAATTAATTAAAATTAGGGCAATTCAAGGAAGGGTAATGATTTGCAATGATAGCTCGGGGCAACAAATGCCAAGAATACATGAAGCAAGAGTGATGACACTTATTACTTGAACTTGCTGCTATTTACCGACAGGTGCCTCCATAGCTTCCCCCTCCCTCCCTCAGCAAAAAATATAACGCCTTTGCAAGTGATTGTAATACAGTATATATGAGCAGATTAGGAAAAATAAAATATAAAACTAATCCTTACCATTGTGTTGGTGGGGTGCATTCAGAGTTGTCTTAAGATGTGACTCCTGCCACTACTGGCTGCATGCTATTAAGAGTGTGTTGTCAACACTACCTTTTTGTACTACTCTATTTAGAATTGTTTCTGTCTTGAGAATTTTTATATGTTGAAAGTAAACATTTGCTTACCATTTGAGAAAATAATATTACGGATTTTACCCCCTTCTAAAAAATGGTAGAACTTATAGCTTCTATGGATGGAATGTATAAATTTTGAGCTGTTGTACCTATAAATTTGTTTTATACTGATGGGATACTATAAAGGGAATACTATGGAATATTATACCAAGAAATGAAACAATAAACCAACCTCTCCTAGGTCTAGAGAAGTAACCCTAGGCCTATTATATGCCATATGAAGTTAATTTAGTTCAAGTACAGTATATAGTACTAGGCATTTGAAAGTTTAGGTTTTGTTGCTATATTATTTCTTGGCCCATCTACAAAATTTAGTAATTTTTCCTCCTCCCAAGCAGCTTATATTTTGTTACTGGCATCCATAGTAATAATGTGCTATCATTTTTTGGATGAAAGGTTTGCTGATTTACCTAGTCCAGTGTGGCCTAACTACAGGTCTGTGGGGCCACTTGTAGGCAGTTAGGGGATTTTCTGGGGGAGGGAGGAGCCCCTCTGGCTCCCTGGAGCTATCTGGGCTGATATGAATGTATTAGACTGTGGCATCAATCAAGCAAATGGAGTTTTGGAGTTCTTAGGCCTACCGGGGCCTAAGAACCCCGGAGCCAGAACCTGGCTCCTTCAGAGAGGCACGAGGAGCAATGGCCTATAGAAACTCCCATGTGATTGTAAGCATTCTGTGTCTGCCATTGACCAGGTCAGGCACCCAGAAAGGTAGGTGCCCCAAAACAAACCCTATCTGGTTAAAAATTACTACTGAAAGTCAAACTATTGGACAGAACTCCCCAAATTAAAAACGAACGTGTCACGATTGTCACCGTGCTGCTGTCTGCGCAGCTCCCCCCTCCCCAGGAGGGGGAAGGGGGAGCTCCAGACCACAGTTCTGTGACTGATGTGAGACCTGGCAGTCATGCGACTCTGGCTCCAGACTTTGTCCAGTGCTGTGCCTTGTGGTGTGGTCCTGTCCAATAGTGGTGTGCGAGCCAGGAGTAATTTCACCAGTACTCGAGCTGCATGCACTTAGGGTTCCCTTCCCTAGATGCCCTGTAAGTACTGCCCTTGTGGCCTGGGGTTTTCTTCCACAAGTTGCTTGGGACCTACCTCCACCATGGTCTTTTGCTGCTCGGTGATTGCCCGCCCTTGGAGTTGGCTGGGGTATTTCATGCACCGTTTGCCTATGGGTAGGAGGTAGCTTCGTCACTAGTTGGGGTGCAAGGTATTGTGCAGCTCATTTTCACCATAATACAGCAGCCGGCTCTGTTTCGCCTGGTGACGACGTACTCGTGCAGGGTTTTTCTTTTATTTGTTTTCTACCTGGTGGAGGGTCTGTCCCTTGGTGTTGTTGACCCTTATATATATATGTATGTATGTATGTATGTATGTAATGTATGTAATGTATGTACGTACGTACTCTTGGTGGTCCTCCACTAGCTCCCCGTGTGTGTACACGTCACAGGGGTTTAGCAATTAGTAGTTTGCTTGGTAGTTGGGGTGCCAGTTGGCAGTACCTTGCCTGGGCTTCCCTTAGCAGAGCATCTAAAAGTCCTGGAAACCCCCACTGGGGCTCAGTTGTCCAATGGTTGCATCCCATCTTGCTTTGTGCGAGTTTGAAGGCTGTTCTGTCCCCCTTATCTCAAGGTGACAATCACCTGTTCTGCCTCTGTCATGCTGCCTATTGGGTCAGTGACGACACCGACATGGAGTCCTGTGAGTGGTGGTCCTTGCTTGTACTCCAATTCACCCAATCCACTGATTGTTATTTGGGTGCAGACGGCTTCAGCATTGCATGCACGTCTTAGGTTGCTGCAGTGGGCTAGGTTGGTTGCTCATCCGGATGGCCCGAGGCTGCCCCATTTTGGTTATAGGGACCCAGACTTGGGCGTTAGTTGCCTCAACTTTGGTTTCATCCGCGCCCCCTTGTCCTTCCCCTGCTTTTGTTCGTCCTCTTCCTTCCTCCTCCCCTGCACCCTGGCTTCTAAGCATCTGAGGGGTTTAGTTTGTGACGAGACGGGCAGTTTCGGGGGGTGCCCCACCTGGTGTGGTGGAGGCATTCGAGCCTGTTCCTTCAGCCGGTGCTTCCGGGTCTGACCAGTGGGCCCTCTTCTTTCCTGCTTTTCCCATGGACTCTGCCTATTCTTTTGAGGCAGATGGTCAGAACGCAGGGGAGGCCACCTCTCCTGCACCCCCCCCTCCCCCTGGAGGCCCACACACTGGATAATATCGGCAGCATATGGGACGTAGCCAAATGTAAGAACATCATTTCGGAACTTGACTCTGGATTCTTTCAAAACAATCTAAACAACATTTGTTCAACCAATATTGGAATACACATCACCGGTATGGAATACGCATCTTTTGAAACAGTAAAAATTGAAAGTACAGATTAGTGCGACAAGATTAGTACCAGATCTAAGAGGGCCGTGTTATGAACGTTGGAACTAGATCTCTCAACTCTAGATGACAGAAGGAACTGAGGTGATATGATCATATGCTGAGGGAAATACATCAGGTGGACAAGGATAGTCTCTTCAGACTGAGAAAGCTGGAGAAGAAGACATGGGGTGCAAACTGGAAAAGCAAATGAGCCGAAGGGATGTAAGAAGGTACTTGTACCCTGTATGGGTAGTTAGGTGGAATGCCCTACCAGAGGAAGTTGTGGAAACCACTTCCATTCACAATGCCTGATTTGACAAAGAATTTGAAAGTCAGAGTAGTTAGATTGAAATGCAACAGATATATGGCTAGTAGGCGAGGCATAAAGAGCTAAACCTCACTCCATTGTAGACAATAATAGGCAAGTATATACACATTACAGGGCCTCGTGACTAAGTGGACAGTGCTGTGGGATCAAGTAGGGCCCAGTTTAGATTCCTGGCTGAGGCAGAAACAAATGGGCAGTTTTTCACCTGATGTACCTGTTCACCTAGTAGTAATTAGGTGTCTGGGGAGTTACAGCTGCTACTGACTTTCTGGGGATGTGTTTGTTAGAAATGTATGTTATAGACATAGCAGAGGAAAAAAAAAGATTGGTTAGAATGGTGGGGTCCAAGAACTAATAGCATGATTCTGCAAACACAAATAGTAAATACAAATAGTAAATATGTGGGTGGAAGCTTGAAACTCAGACGAGTCACACCGATGTTAGAAAGTTCTCATCTAGAGTGAGAGTAGTGGGAAAATGGAATGAACTAAAGAAGCAGGTTGTGGAAGCAAACTATATTCATAGCTTTAAAAGTAGATACGATCAGGAAATAGGACAGAATTCGTTGCCATAAACCAATGACGGCTAGAAAGGCAGGGTCCAAGAGCAAATGCTCGATCCTGCAGGCACAAATAGGTGAGTACACGCACATTTCTTTGGTTTTCTTATTACTTTCATTGCAAAATGTATATCAAATGAATTTAATAATGTATATTGTAGACAAGTTCTGTACTTGCTAGTTAAGTAGATACCGTACACTGATGAGGTTGAAATTTGAGTACAGTATGCATACTGGTTTATTAATATTAACAAATATATTTACAATATTATAATTTATTAATTTATTATAGATATTTGATTTGTATTTGTTTATTTAATATTGCTAGGATAAATGAAAAGGTGATTTCCAGGTAATGGACATAAACCATGTCTTGTACACTAAGTAGGCTTGGTTACTAGTTGCAGTGGAACACTACCCACGAGTGTGTCTGGTACAGTGGAACACTACCCACGAGAGTTGTCTTGAAGTAAACCCAACTTCTCGAGCCTCGATGTTACACTTCTTTCTCACTCTTAACTTTCCAAAGCATTTAGCCAATTGTTATATAAAACAAATGTTATATATGTGTAAGTAATATTTCAAGAAATTTTATTTCAAGACATCTTGTAAACATAGTTGTATTGTGTTAAGGAATTTAGGTGCCAAGTAGAAGTTGTACAGTATATCAAATGTTGAGATACTTTTCAAGGTGTGGAGTACTGTACTTGTTGCTAGCCTTTACGTGAGACTAGAGGAAGAATGTGCTAGCATGTAGTATTAATCATTGTTTTGAGATGCACTTTTCAGATGTGTAATACTAGGCTATACTGATTAGTACATTGTGTTAATTAATTGCAGCATTAAAGTTGACCACAAGGATTGGTTAGGTTGCTTCTCTATAGTAGTGATGTGATAGATCAACTTGAATTTTGTTAGGGTATGTTGAGTTGCCCATGACATAGTTAGGTGGTATGTGAGGTCTGTGGTGGTGGTTGTTGTTGCATGTGTGCATCTCACACGGCCACGGGGCCATGTTACAGGGCGGCACCAAGGGTACGGCAGCCTGGCCCGAAACCCCCAAGCAGACAAGCAACATGTTAGGCGGCAACCTCACCCCAGCAGACCGTCATGGCTCCGTCCAGGTAATATTACTTCTGGCAATGGGCTTTATCATCCCTTCCTTCTGCTACTGCTTATCATTAGGTCAGCTCTAGTGTAGATGAGCTCTGATCTCCAAAATGTCAATTTTTTTGGATCATCCAAAAGAAATTTGGCTGTGGATATCTTGAGACAAGTCTGACAGTTGTTGATCTTGTGGTAAGTGTGCTTCCTCTCCAGTAACTGGTCTTCAAGTAGCCATAGAGCATGAAATGTAACCTTGCCTTACCTTTCTTTCCTCAGAAATTGTTAAAATTCTCTATAGTGTTGATTCTGTTTTTTTTTTTCCAACTGGGCTGCTTTTATACGGATACAATACAATCAGTAATGATACATTTTTTTATTTAACAAAACTCATTAATATAATTATAGATTATATATTTTATGGTTAACTGGTTAAAAACCTTGTAATTATGTAGTTAATTGTTCTGGCCAATTATTCCTTATAACGACTTGATTTAAGGCTTGCTTATAGCTTCTAATTTATCATTAAACATTTTTATTTTCTAGAATTTATTTTTTCTATTAATGAAACCACTGTATACTTATTTTTTTCTACTACATAAGGTTGATGAAGAAATCTAGTGATGCATATCATAAAAAGGGTGCTGATAACTATTGCTCATCCTCAAGTTATCAAAAATTGCATTATAGAAGTGTAATTACCTAAGTGTAGTTACAGGATGATAACCACACAGTCCAGGTGAATGGAATGTTTATTTCCACGGAAGTGTGGATGGCAATTTATTTGAGAACCATGCTCGTGGTATACCATCTTCCCAGTATTTTTCTGGAGGGGGCCCCTTGGGGCTCCCTGAAAGTATTACACTGATACAGTGACATACTGCTAGATGTGGAGTTCTTATTGGTATACCAGGGACTATGAGCCAGAACCTGGCCCACTTAGAGAGGTGCAGGGAGCAGTGGAACTGACACTATGAAAACCTTTATGTAAAAGTTATTTATGTCTGCCATCACCAAGCAAAGGCATCAAGAAAGTCTGCAAAACAAAACGGACTACTGCTTGGTTAGAAACAAGACTGCAGCCTCAAAACTGCCAAAAGAACTTCCCCCAACAATGTAAACAAACTATCGAAAATTTGTGAAACTAGCACACGCTAGAATGCACACATCCCTCCCTCCCTCATTTGGGGGGAGGAAGGAGGCAGACTGGGCTCAGCCGGCTACTCTACCATCAGTTCTTATTCTGATGTAGCCATGCCTAGTCATTCATTTGGTCGCTCTGGCTCCAGTCCCCATTTATCTAAGTGGTGTTTATCTTTGAGACTGTGTATGCATTGCTTAGCATGAGTCAGGAGTTTAGTGTGCTGGGAGCTGCATGTGCTCAGGGTTCCCTTCCCTGGGTGGTACCCTTGCATAGTCAGAGTTGTCTTCCCTGGTGTGTTTGGGATACATTTCCTTAGGGGGTCTCCTTGTTCGGGGTAGCCTTTACCCTTTAGGTAAGCTGGTAGCCTTGGACTGTCTGACTTTCCTTGGGTTGGGAGTGTTTTTTGCTGGTAGGATATTGTGGTTTGCATGACTTTAAGTGACACGTTGAGTTAGGCCTTCAGCTTCCATGTCTGGTTGGTGTTATGATTCTCTTGATTGTTCTAGGGGGTTCTGAGCTTTTCTTTCTGTCCCTTTTTGGGGGTTTCTCTCATTTTGCTTTGTTCTACTTGAGGCATTGACGGTTGTTCGTCATCTGTGCAACCAGGCGATGTTCGTATGTTCTGCCTCCACCATGCTGCCTGCTGGGTCAGTGACACCTTCAACCCTGAGTTGTCTGGGACTTGATCCCCACATATGACTTTTCACCCACACTTCTCTTAAAGTTAAGAGGTTTCAGACAGTGACTGCTTGCTCTTTAGGTTTTGCAGCCTTTTAGGATGTGTGCCTGGTTGCATGCTCTGCCTGGTGTTTAGGGCCAAGGATTTGGGGGTGTTGGTTAATTCAATCTTAGTTCTGACTGCCCCTTCTCTTCCTTTCCTGGTGGACAAGGTTTGCTTCCACCCCCCCCCCCCCCATAAGGAACAGCAGGAGGTGGGTGTGGATGTTTGCTCATTCCTGGGGCTCAAAGAGAGTAAATGGGCCCCTTTTGGGCTTTAGTGCCTTCTGCTGAGGGTCTTGTGTTGCAGGGGGGTGATGGGTTTCTCCCCCCCCCTAGCCTTTCCTGTTTGAGTTTAGTGCAGCATTCTCAAGGGCTCATTTCGTTGGGGTGCTCTTCAGTTTCATCCGTCCTTTCCATTCATTTTCTTCCTCCTAGGTTTCCCCGGCGGAGGCTGCCCTGGTTGTGGGCCCTTGGTGTGTACCTCCTTACCTTACGATGATTACCTTGCAATGATTTTGGGGATTTAGTGTCTCCGCAGCCCTATCCTCATCCAGGCCTCCTGCATGACCCGGTTTATGCTTTGGTTATGGACCAGACTTCCTTAAATAAGTACAGTTCTTACTCTCCTTTTTGAATGCGTTCCAAGGTTCTGGAGTCGTCCTGGATAGCAGGCTGTCCTTTGTTTTCACTTGGGGCTTGGTGCCATTTGTCATCCATGCATGCTTGAGTGGCAGGAGGTGTCTATCGTGTTCTGGGGGGTTCTTTTGAATCCCTCTTTTCGTGCCTCTTTGTCCCTGCCCTTTGCCATGTTGTGGGTCTTTGCAGTAGAATGCTCGGGTTCCCATCTGTCGGCTATTTTAGCCGTGGATGACCTTCGTGCCTGCTTGCACTTTGCTTCTGTCGTGCATTCTTGAGCTTCCTGGCACTTCATTTTGAATGGCACTCTGGATGTGGGCGTGCTCGGTGAGGCTCCTCTTGCAGGGGATTTGGTTTTTGCTACTGCTGCTTTGTTGGCCCTCCACAAGCTGTATACAGTACAACCTTGATTCGGCGCACTATATGGGACCGACTCTCTAGTTTCTTGCGGGGGGTGGATTCATTGCAGGAGGGGTTTGCATCAATGTCGCATTTTTCTTGTACACAACAAAAATGCATTATCATACTATATACTGTACCTATATATTACTATTCTACTAAAACAGTTAGTTTTATTTATTTTATTGTTGGATTTATGTCCATCTTGAATTCTCATGTTGTGTATCCTGTACAGTAAATGTGCTGTATTATGTAGTTAGCACTGTATTGATTAGGTAGTTCTGCTATATGTTGAGTACTACAATACAGTTTATGAAAACTATTGTACACTAAAATTACTGCATCTTTAATTTTAACACTTTAACACTATGTACTTAAATTTAACACGTGTGGAGTGTACACTTAGAACAAATGATGTTCTAGATGTTTGCATCAGCTTTGCTGGTGCTCGCTGCTGCTGTGTTGGTTTTGGCTGCTTAATGATTCTCCGGTAATTTTCCCGTTCTTAATATTATGCCTATTCTTAAATCATTCCATCCATTCTTCACTAGCTTGAAAATCTGGAATTGGTGGCTGGCTGGTGGGCAGGCAGTGTGGGTAGGTTTGGGCAGGCGGATGGGCAACTATTTGGACTGGTGGTGTGGGTGGGTTTGGGCAGGCTGATAGGCAGCTATTTGGGCAGGTGGATTGGGTGGGTTTTGGCAGGTGGATGGGTGGCTATTCGGATGGGGTGGGTTTATTTGGGCAAGCAGATGGGCGGGTAGGTGGACGAGATGTTTTGGGCAGGCAGTGTGGGTGGTTTTGGGCAGGCGGATGGGCTGCTATTTGGGCAGGTGGTGTGGGTGGGTTTTGTTCAGGCAGATGGGCTGCTATTTGGGCGGATGGTGTGGGCTTTTTGGACAGGCGGATGGGCTGCTAACATCAAGGAACTAGGTTTATACACCCTACAATAGGCTGAAGTTTAAGCCAGATCCAGTAACAAATTTCTCTCAAATATTGGATTTACATCATATTACATATTTTTGGGTTACATATTTAGTTTAGCAACATAATTAAGGTAATATGAGCTATAAAAATACTTAATTTAGAAATGATTTATTAATTTTATTATTTTGAGGCCGTAGGTCACTGAACTGTAGCGACGAGTTCGAACGAAAAGCACATGGTGCTGTGTGTACAGGGAATAGACCAGTCCACCTGTGCTAGAGTTGATTTAAAAGCTAATTTCAAGCCACAATTTAATGTGGTGCCGCCGGGCCAACACAGCACTCTGCTGTGGCGACAAGGAAACTGCGCTCTGCGTTTCATCTGATTGTACCTGATTGTCGTGGACTATTTGTTTGAAGACATTTGAAATTTTCCAATAATTGGCTAAAGCCAATAACATAAATAATTTCTCAAATAGCAGATATCTTTAATATTAAAGTATTTTTTTGTTTTATATTTAGTTTAGATATATAATTAGGATAATAAAAATCTATTAAAAAAACTTTTAGACAAAATTTATTAATCTGAAACTTTCAAAGTCATGGGTCACTGAACTATGATGACACACAGAAGGAATCCCAAGTGAGGTTTACAGTTCATGTTTCATCACAGAAAATGTATGCAAGGAGATTTCACCACATGTAGCTAGCTTCTCACATTTCAGCCTTTAAATTAATTTACGAAGATGTGTGTCATAAATCGATGAACGAAAATCATGGAAACTCAATCGTTCACTTGTTGGGTGGACCACTCTGGCTGGTGTTTTGTTAATATGGCTTACTTGTTGTATGGACCACTCTTCTTGAGGTTATCTTGAGATGATTTTGGGGCGTAGTGTTCCCTGGTCCTCGACCAGGCCTCCACCCCCCAGGAAGCAGCCTGTAGCAGCTGTCTTAACTCCCAGGTACCTATTTACTGCTAGGTAACAGGGGCATCAGGGTGAAAGAAACATTTTGCCCATTTGTCTCTGCCTCCACCGGGGATTGATCCCGGAACCTCAGGACTACGAACCCGAAGCGCTGCCCACCAAGCTGTCAGGCACCCTGACAGCCGAGTGGTGTTTGGTTAATATGGTTCACTTCTTGCATAGACCACTCTGGCTGGTGTTTGGTTAATATGGTTCACTTATTGTGTGGTCCACTTGTCCACTTCGTTTTCCCTTCAAAACAAGGGAAAAAGTGAAGACAAAGGTAAGAATGTTTTCTGGTTTGCTCTGGTTTTCCTGGTTGTCTGCAATCTTCTGCTTTAGCCAGCTTGTGGTTTACCCTTGTATCCTTGATGTACTTCTGTGGGCCAATCTTTTGGCGCCTTTGCTCACGTATCTTGGGCCGTAATTCAGGTGTGGGAGCTTTGGTGGTCAAAAAAGGTCCCAGCAGCAGGGGTGATTCTTGGTGAATCGGATACTTTTGATATCATTCGCCTTATATGTTTCTGTTCTCTTATTGGCATCCTTAGTGATATTTAGTGCCCTCTGATTATTCTGCACATTTGATGGTGCTACATAGCCTTCCTGGCTTGGTGCTTTCTTTAATAATTACTTACTTATCAATTTTCATAATTGGGTGTGTGGCTTAATGAGTGTCCCAAGCACTACTTGGACACTGGGGCAACTTGGAGGTAAATCGCAAGGAGGACATTCAAAACTTTCATAGAAGATAACCTTGGTTGGGAAAAGAATCTCAGGCACCAGGAAAATTAACACATTAACTACGTCAGGATGAAATAATTGGGTAAAAGCAAGCAAGATGGGGAGCACAAATAAATTCGTAAAGCATAATAAAATAAAGTAAAATAAAATACAAATTATTGAACAAATCCACAGGAGCCTTCTTTGATGAGGGTTTGATCCAATGCACTGGGCATTACCAAACACGCTCTAGTCAACAGTACCATGACATGGAAAAGAAGTTGGAAAATGGCAACTACAAAAATGTAACATGACATAGAAAAGGGGTACAGTTGACTAGAGCATGTTTGGAAACACTCGGCGTATAGGTTTGAACCCTCATTGAGGCTCCTGTTGATTTGTTCTTTGATATATCACGTGACACGATTTGTGTGTGTACAAATTATTGCCCCCTGTGGGACAACCTCACCCAAGGAACACTTACTCTTTCTCAAAGCAGAAGTGGTTCTTGTTGTGGGAATAGTTGAGTCTTTGGCATCAGGCACACAAGTGAGGCAAGTTAGGTTGAACACCTGATCTGCTATTCAGTGGTGCACTTTGATATTTGCATGGCTTTGTTGATGGTGGCCAAACTACCTTTTCTCTCACTTATGACCTTTACTCTTTTTAATCAAGATATGCAATTTGGTTTTACCAGTTTTTCTGGGCAGTTTACTGTTTTGTGGTTGATATAAGATCCCCATGCTCCTCTTGTGTCTTTGATCATGCCAAAATCTTGTGTTTGTTAGACCTGCACAAGTCTGGAGGTCTGGGGCCAGATTCACGAAGCGGTTACGCAAGTACTTACAAATGTGTACATCTTTTTTCAATCTTTGACAGCTTGGGTTACATTTATTAAACAGTTTACAAGCCTGAAAACTTTCCAATAAGCTGTTGTTATTGTTATAAACAGCCTCATGGGGCTTCGGAGTTCATTAACTGTTTAATAATTGTAAACAAAGCCGCCAAAGATTGAGAAAAAGATGTACAGGTTTGTAAGTGCTTGCGTAACTGCTTCATGAAGCTGGTCCCTGGTTGTTTTATGGTTGTGTCTGTGGTCCAAGAGCAAAAGTACTGGGAAGTTACCAAGGGCCAACCCATTAAAGTGATTGTGCTATTTGTTGGATGGGTAATTTCCTTCAGACAGTATATCATTTGTAAATTGTTTGTAGGTGTGGACAATAAATTGGGCAAATTACGAGGATGAGCTCACAATGAACATTTCCTTCGTGCACAATTTAGTTTACCATGGCAAGCATTTTGAAGGCCCTATAAGGTATCCCTTATTCTGACTTTTATCCTGTTATTCATTCTTCCCCGTTGGCAGGGTTGTTGGTCCTCTATAGTTGGTAACAAGCTGCATACTCTCAAACGTAGTGTGTCCCCATGGCCTTCCTCCTGCCACCGTAACCGGCGGTGGGAAACTGCTTTGGCACGGCTGCGGGTTGGTCATACTCGCTTAACCCACGGTCACTTAATGGAGCGCTGCCCTGCTCCTTATTGTCCGAATTGCGTTGTCCCTCTTACAGTTGTGCATATCCTTGTTGAATGTCCTGACTTCCAGGACGAGCGTGTGTCTTGCTTTCCGACCGTCTCTCGCGGTCACTTGTCCCTTGATAGAATTCTAGGTGAATTGGATACTTTTGATATCGTTTGCCTTATGCGTTTTTGTTCTCGTATTGGCATTCTTGGTGATATTTAGCGCCCTCTGATTAAATAGCCTTTCCGGCTATTAGTCATTTTTTTGCCTCAGTTCTGTCACTGATTGCCTGTGCATTCAGACCTCCCCAAGTCATTGGATATAGTGAATTCCATTTCTTTTCAAGTGTAGCCTGTCCTGTGAGGGTCATTTACTTGCATGTCATTCCTGACTGGTTTGCTTCACAAGTATGCTTTTCAAGCTTCACTTGTTGCATGGATTTGGTATTTTCTTCACCTCAGGATGTACATGCCTAGGGTACCCCTTCCCTAGGTACTTGTTCAGCATTGCCCCTGCTCTATAGTGACTTATCAGTGAGTTCAGGAGCTTCCCCCTAAGAGGCTGTAGTACTGTATAAGATGCTTTATTGCAGTGGGTAGTCTGAGTCCTCTGTGAAGTTCTGTGGTTGGGAGGATTTGGGTTTTTTCCTGTGGGTGCACTAGGGTTTGCGTGCTTGTCCCGTATGATGTGCTGGTGCCCTTCACAGCTGTGTTTGGCATCAATGTTTTTGGTGAGTTTTCCTAGTGCTTGGTCATTCCATTTGGATCATCCTTCAGGCCCTGATAAGCCCCTGGGGTCTCTGGAACAGATCATGATTGATTGGTCCATCCACTGAGCCTGCAATTGCTATGAGATTGAAGGATGCTTGTTGGCCATGCTTCACACTGATGATCAGTCTGTCTCCATCTCCTAGCCTTGCTGGTGTGGTTTGCACAGCATCTATTCTCTCTCCTGCTCCACTCCCCATTGTTTAGGCCCAGAAGTGACTTGAGGGTTTTGGAGTCTGGTTGAGGTGTAGTTCAATCACATCTGGGATCTGCTCATCCACTTTCATGGTAGAGATAGTTGAGTGATCCCTACCCTTCTTACAACCTCTGAATCATCTGTAATTCACACAGCAGATACACAAAATAGAGAATAGCTTGATAATTTAGCAAACCCAGTACCAGATATTATATTCCATGGAGAGTGGAATCTACCCAGTTTAAGATGGAGGCTATCAAACAGTAACATTAGAGCAGGATACACACAGAAATCACAATAACGTGATATATATCATGTTACTGATACTGTACTTACCAGTGTATTTACTGGTAAATAATGTGTGTGTGTGTGTGTGTATATACTTATTGTTGAAGTAGAACATCTGGTTGACAGCCCGGGTGCATGGGGTAATTGTCTGAAACCTCGATTGGGATTCTGAGAAGCTTTGGGATCCTAGTGAGAGCAGTAGCACTCTAGGTTACAATTCTTTTGACCGTGTCGTGGTACAGTTGACCAAGGCGCATTTGGGAACATCCTGTGCGTAGGTTCAAACCCTCATCACGGCCCTTGTAGATTTGTTCTTGGAGCAGGATATCAACCTGGAAACAACCAACCACAGGTCAGAGAACTATTGAGATTTTGACTAATTTTTGCATAAGTAGCAGAGGAAAATGAACTAGAATGAATATACTCTCAACCTGATCTTCAGGCATTGGAGAAATAATCAGGGACATTTCTATCTCAGATACTACATACTCCAACCACAAGCTAATTGAAGTTTGAACTTGCATAGATATTTTTAATAGGTCCAATTGGATTAAGAAGCGAGAAGGGTGTCGTCTCCATGGTGTAGAATGTATAGGTTGTCTAGTTCAATATTAATTCCATGATATGGTATGTATGGGTTGTGTAGTACAGTATTGTATCCATGGTGTAGTATGTATAGCTTTAATAATATTTCTATAGTATGGAATGTATAGGTTTAGTTGTATTTCTGTTGTGTAATGTATAGGCTTAGAAATTGTAATTAGGGTACTATGGTATAAAATGTTGAGAACTTGGGGTTAACTGTGCATTTCACTTTTGTTTAAAGTTTATTACTGACTGGTTAAAAAGCCTAATGTCAGTTGTGTATTTGACATTAGTCTAGTAATTCAAACGGTTTTGCTATTTGTGAAAACTCCAAATACTTGTGATTGGTTCTGGGTTTTTATGGTGTAAATCAATGGTTGTCTAGTAATGGTCATATAAGTACAGTAGCTGTATTAACCTCACCTGTATAATTTTGACTGGTTAATGTTACTTAACACTGTGGAACGGCTTGCTAACCTTCATTACTGTTGCCTTTGCATGTGCGAGTGAATTAACTTACTATTATTTTTAACAGCCACATTTAGAAAAGTGTCATGGCATGTGATTTATTTTGCATTTATAAAATTTTAAATTGAACATTAGAGCAACTTGGTAGAATTCTAACATGAATGATTTCTGCAGGTTGTGAGCTCTACTAATGGTGAACTTGGTCCAGATGATCCTTTAGCTGGCCACTCCAACACACCTATCACTGTCCATCAAGAAGGAGACACCTCAGATGAAACCAAGTAAGATTCCTCTTTTCATCAGTTTTATGAATTGCATTAATTAAGCAGCAATAATAGTTACACAAGTTTTTATGTTTAGTTTAAGAGCTGTCTAGAATTAAAATGTATGCCAGCATATCATATTGCTCGACACTCATTATATTACAAACATTTCAAATAGATTAACTCGTTTTGTTATGTTTGTGAGCAAGCCTCCTCAATAGCTTCCTTGTTTTTATGTTTTCTGGCATTCTAAATATGTCAAGCTCCAGGTGACCGTCTCAACTCGCTGAGAACAGATTCACTGAAGGGGCAGAGAGTACTGTATTTGGGGATCCGTGATCAACCCTTTGCTGAAGTGTACTGCCACAAAAATGAGAAAAATTAAAGTTCCTCCACGCCATGTATGGCAACAGTGAATCATTGAACAGGGGTCTGAAATAGCATAGCCACCATTAACCTACTCCTGCAGTCACCATCCTGATAGTTTCTAGAAGGCATCACGTGTCTCTTGCCCGGCGTGTTGCCAATTTATTATCTTGGTACCACATCTGACCTTCCAGTTAAATACTTGGTTATCCCTAGGATATTGTCTTGTGTTGGGGGCCGTACCCTAGGAAATTTCTTAACACGTGCTTCCAGTTACATTGTCTTGTTTACTTGCTTTGTCTATAATTATATATTTTAAGATTCTGTTCCTTAGATTGTGAAGACTGATATCCAACCAAGATATCTTCTCTGGGAATATTGTGTTTACTTGCTTGGAAAGATTCAAGTTGGAGCTGTGCATAGAAGTAGTTACAGACTTCAGCAAGTGAGGCTCTGGACTGGGATTGACAGTGTGCTAACCAGTTGGTTAGCACACTAGATCTCGCTCCTCAGTGACTATGGGGGGAGTGAGATCCAGTTCTTTATACCCCATCACCTAGCCACTTTTACCCAATGTGTTATGCAAGGCACATGATAGGAAGCCGTACCCTAGAGTGCAACTAACAAACCTGTTCTTACTTCCTTATAAACAATGGGAGGGGTATCTAGATATATTTGACAAAAGCACAAGTCGAAGCAAGAACTCTTATTCTATATGGGATAAGAAATACACCTTGGGGTACAATTTCACAATGGGGTTTTATGGAACAACACAGGATTATTTTACACTGACTAAATATGGGGGTTGTTGAGACAGAGGGAGCCTTCTCAGCAAACATAAATATTAGTGAGTAGTGTATAGGAGCCACACCAACTGGGACGTAAGGGTGCCACCATCCATTACCCTTCCTTGGTAATTACAAAGGTGATATGTGTATTAACAATGCAAGGTTCTGACACTTTAACACTTTACAAATGCTACAAATGGATTAAGTTGATGTGGTAAGACCACGTATTACAGAAAGAGTGAATGAATCAAAACAAAAAACACCATCTACACACATGGTTCCATAAATAACCTTAGTTTTAAAACTGTCTATCCCTAACTAACACAGGGATTGAGCACTGCTATAGCATGTATGAGATACAAATGCACTTCTCGTTACTGTGGAAGACCGCCACACGTCACACAAGCGATGACCGGACTGTTCTCCAACTCTGCCCAATACCCTACTCTCCTGCAGATATTTTTTGATGGCAGGGCAAAACACTTCATTTACTTAATAAAAAATTGCTTTGTCACCCATGCTTTACTATTAGCCTTTCACATTATATTCAATTTTCTAACATATATTCTGTGGAGAGCCCCTTCGACTGCCCAGAGCTATACCGGGCTAATATGTATGTATTAGACCATGGCATCAGTCAATTCAAATGAAGTTCTAGCCTACTGGGGACCACGAGGCAGACCCTTACACCCCCCCCCCTTTGGGCACCACGATGGTGCCCAAAGACCATCGTGGTAACCAGTAAACCTGATAAATCGTGCAGACGACGCCACCGTCCTCACCAAAATGGCGGCTCCCAACCTACTCCTCGTGCTGTTTATACCCTCTATACACACGTTGTATATAAGTATCTACATTTGTGTTCACCATAGCGAACCACTAAGCTGGTATGGTGAGTGCAGTCAATAAAAGGTGGCCACAAATAGTCAGAAGACAACGCCACCACCCTCCCTCCCACAGCATTACTCCTCCCTCCATGGAGCACAGCGCTAAATATCACCACAATCCTGCTATTATCAGAACCCTGGTCAGTTTTATCACAGTCAGGGGTCTTCTGTAATAATATCATCGCTACATAATAGCATGAAAAAGTATATTATGGCATTTTTAGGCGATGCTGTGGTCACAAGCTGAACAGAAGTGCTGAGAGCTCATGCTGTGTGCGTCAGGCTTGGTAGCTCACTCAATACTGAGGCCCCTAACACCCGGGAATTTGGCCCACGATTTTTTAAAAAATGGCGTCTGTTTACAAGAGCCCTGATGAAGGTGTGGTGAACTCTGTGTATCCGCGGGCCGTTTAAATCTTGCGTAGTACTCCAAAACATCACATGATGCGATGAGCAATTTACTGCAAGTCGGTCAAAGCATCATATGATGCGATGCGCAATCGAAGGGTTAAACATCATGTTATTTTCTGCTGTCCTGTGTTAGTCGAGTGTCCGACGGGAGGTATGGGGGATGTACAGGATCATACTTTGACCCATAAATGTTGACATGTTATACTTGCAATCCTAGGGTAGACTTTTACACAAGGTATATGGAAAATTTCAGCTTTTGCCCAAATTAGGGAGCTGACTTTTACATGCAAGGATATATGGTATTAAATGCCAAGAATATAGTGGCTGCAAGAGTAATCTTCCACATGCATTATGTAATTTTTAAGAGTTTATTTCTGTATTTTCAAAGTGTTTTTGACCTAAATATGTTTATGGGCGTTGAGAATTAATTCTGATCTGTGCTCTTAAAGTTTGAACAGTTGATGTAAAACTTGAAACCTTTGCATGTTTGCAGATGCTGCTGCTTCTTCAAAAGAAAGAAGAAGAAGGCTGGACGTGGGAAGTGACTGGCGGTGGTTCAGTGCTCACCGGAGAGAGAAGCCATTGCGGTGCTGCTGCCGGCATCACAGTCGCAGTCTAATGAGAGTATCCTCAACCCTCAGGCACCGCCACCAATAGGAGGGACCCCAGCCAATCCCCACAAGCACTGATCACTTCTCCATTACCTCATCACCACTGCAAGCACTCTATCTCAAGTTGAATCAAGTTCCTGCCTAAAAGATGGGCAGTTCAGTCATGTGCTTGCATTTTTGTCGGAAAATCTCTCGTGATTCCATCTGGCCAATTTTTTTACTGTGATGCCTGTGTTAAGGTGAGCCTTCAAAAATACAGTAAAAGGCATGGAACTTGGCCAGATGAATGTGCTTATATATTTTGCTGTGCACACATCTGGTGTGCTGGAAGATGGTTTGCCAAAGCCATTGTAATTTTGGACAACCTCTTATGCATGTGTGGGGCAGGACTTTACAGATAAATTATTTTAAGCACTTTGATCATAATAGACACGGCTTAATGTAGAAAGGAGATTGTGCAATAAAAATATACTCGGTCCTAAACATTTTTAGGTGATTACTGCCAGTGAAATTTGTCTCCTCTCTGACACAGAGGAACATTTTTGCTGTCATTCTGAGATGGAAGAATGCTGTGGTGGTGGTGATGGTGGTGGTAAGGGAAATTTGGAGGTTACTTCAAACGACTGCTTGCCAAGTGTGAATTGAAGCTGCCCTATTCTCTGGGACCTTTCTAAGGCCTAGCCTGTCATTGTGATGAGAACAGTCATTTTTGGCTCTTGTAACTAATCAGTTGGTTTCATTTCACTATTTATAATAAAGATAAGGAAGCCTATTGAAATGTCGCATGAAGTCAAACGGACCGATTGTCACATTTGTTCTGTGATCATTACTTAAAAAATAATAAGAGTTCACCAGCTCAATTGCTCCATCAACCAAAAAGTGAATGGACTTTTCTGCTCTGGTAAATTATTCTTTATTCGCCAAATGACCAATTAATTTTTTTGTGTGTATTTAGTCGCCTTTGGGAAGTACTAATGTTTACATACTTTGGGACGACACTAGTTTAGATGTAGTTTGGTGGAAGCAAGTCATGACCAGTGCAAAAGGGGGTATTTTTTTTGCATCCCTGTGTTGGTATCAAACTGGCACCCAATGGCATAGCTATATAATTTTAATATTATTTTACATAGGTACCATAACTAAAATATTTTATTTGCTTAATGCCCAACAGAGATGATTCTCATTGGTGATGGAATTTGACCGAGATAAAGTAGAGGAGGAGTAAATAATTTAAAGCTAAACAAATAAAAAGAGTTTGGCAAAGCCAGATAGAAGATTTTATTAAATGGAAATTCTCAGAAGTGCCAAACAGGCAGGGCCAGAAAAATAGCAGAGATGAAACACAAACGACACAGATATTCCTTAATAAAGGGATCGGTGGACTAGGGGCCATATTGAGCATTGAGATGGCATCATGCTCACCACATGCTGATGTTGTTTTTCACTGGCAAAACATTGAAAACATAGCAAATGACCAGTATATTAGTGATTGCAAACTATGGTTTCCTTGTGACCATTAATAGAAGAGAAAGGGGCAAATTTAATTATGAGTTGTAAGAACTATGCACTAGTAGGTGAAGAAGCCAAAGTTTTAGTGTATAATCAAAGGTTAACTGAAAATTGAGTGGTAGTGATGACTGCAGTGTTCCTGTCACTAAAGTTATGGGGGCAAGATAAAGACCACAGCTTGAGCAAGTGTCGCCCTCTCATTTTGACAGGCTTTTGAACATGGTTGGTAACATGTACAGTCAGAAGAGTTGAATGTGCATGTTAAGTGAAAATGTTAACTGAAAGACAAGCATGGAATGACAGTCTTAGTGATGGCAACAATTCATCACCATACTTGTGCTACACCACGATCTCGTCCCCCAGGGCTTTTGTTAGGACGGACTTGTTACAGGGACGCTCTTGTAGCAAAAGTCCAAAGTTCCTTTCAGAAGTATATCAATGTTATGTGGAAGGGTTAAAGCCTTCCTATATTATTTTTCTTATGCCTGTAGCTGTTCAACAGAACATGTGATGTTATAAGTGACTATAAACTACATACTTCTTTACCTTAATTCTCCCCTTATAAATCCCCTTGACTTTTTATTTCATTCAATTACTTGTACTCACTAATCCCATCACATCGTCTGCCACCCATCATCCCCTTCATTTTTACTCCTTTTAAGAATAATTTTTCCTATGAAGACATTTTCCTCGTTAATTTATCAGTGTTCTATAGTCACATCTGATATTCTCTTAAGATCGTCCTGAATGTTTTCCTAGTGGTCACTTCAGCTAATTGGACTTTCCTACAGATGGTCATATTCTTGCTCACATTTTCTGATTGTAGTGAAAAGTCATCTATATAAAGCTTTTAGAAACCACATATGGGAAACCAGCAGTCAGGGAGGAATAATGGTAAATTATGAGTCGTCATATTCCATTGCTGAAGCCATTTTATTCTGTCCAGTTTTGTAGGTAAACAATTTGAAATCTTGTTGATGAGCTGTTAGATGTAGTGTCCTGGGCCACAGACACAAGTACAAGGCAAACAATAAACAAAGTTAGTTGTAATGCCTTCCTTCACACTGGTGTTGATGAAGTTTGCAGCAAATATCATTACTTGTATGTACTCTATGAAGTTGTCAACTATTACTATTGTAGATACGAAAAGCTCTCTTTGATATGTGTTTTATCAAGCACACGGTGCAGCCTCTTATATTATTAATGACAAAGGCTTGCAGTGTGCTGGAAACTGCTTAGTGACACAGCAAGATTACCTCTTGCTGCAGTATAGCATCCTTTGCTACCTCCTGCTACAGTATAACATTTTTGCTTTTCTTTTTTCCTTATTTCTGTTTTGTTCTATTTATTTATTCTCCTTTGCAGCAAAATAAAATTTGCTGCTACTTTTTCAGTAGCACCATCACCAGTGTCATCACCACCACTCATCTTGCACCATCACCAGTGTAATCACCACTCATTTTGCATTGCCATCAGCAGTAATATACCTGAAGAAGACTGGTTTTAATAATTTTACACTTTCATATTACACAGTTATTAAACTAGCTCAATGTTTTAGGTTTTGGTATTGCTGATGCCATGACAAACCATTTGTAGGAGGCCAGGCTGATGTGATCATATCTCTACCGTCACCATAGTTCTTGGTCTTCAGTGTCGTGTATATGTGATTATTGATGAGCAAATGCATTGCTTCTCATTAGGGGTCAATGATCATTTATGTGTGTGTGTGTGTGTGTGTGTGTGTGTGTGTGGAGACGGTAGTGTCATCTGTGATTTTCTCGCTAAGAATTATGTGAATGCTAATTTGAAATATGTCAAGTATGCCCAGTCACAAGAATTGCCCGTCGCCCATTTTGGGGAAGTCAACAAGTAGTAAAGATTTTTTGTATAATTTTGGACATGGATGTAAGGTATGATGGTCCATTGAAGATAGCCATGGTATATTTCATCTTTGTATGAAGTTGTCATGGTGTTTATATGGGTGAAAGAAATCACTTGTTTGCCTCTATGGAACATACTGCTTCAATGTGCTGTTTAACAATAAAAACTCAGCATTTGTATCTGTATAATCCATATAACTGGAAGAATATAATAATACTGTTGTTAAATCATTGTTTTCCTTTACCTCTCGTACAGGACAACAAGAACAAGTGTTCCTAACACATGACGGACAATTATGCTCTCGTGACAATAACTGTGGAAACAAAAGAACATTGTACAAAAACAAACTTAGCATTCACTTAGAAACAAATGTGAAGATATTACTTAAGCTGTTTTAAGGAGTTACTGTGCTGAAAAGTTACAAAATATGTTACTGGAATTAGATAATGAGAAGTTTGAGGAAGTAGCAAGGAAGGAAAGTTTGGTCAATGGAACTGTTAATTAGTATGTTTACTCTGGGTGTGAAGGACATATTGCCAAAGCTGTGTAATTGTATTTGCCTTGTTGACGTCGCAAGGTATAAACGATTTATGTACATAGTGAATGATCATAGCATAGATTTCATTGTCCCTCGACCAGTAAACAGGGTTGTGTTCCCATTCAATGTTTGTGGTGGGTGTGTGTGTATGTATTTGTACATATATAAAAGAAAGAAAACAATTAGCAGTGAACCTGTGTGGGAGACAGTTGTAAACAGGGAGCTTATCTTGGGACTTGTTTACTATACAATATACAGTATGTACAAACAATTTGGATTCAGGATTAAACAGCAACATTTACAAATTTGTAGACAATACAAAATGGGGAAAAATGAATTTAGAGGAAGACACAAAATCCCTAAAATATATCTACAGTACTTACTCTTGATTAAAATGAACAACAACTTGACAAATGCAGTTTAATACTGAAATATGTAGGGTTCTCAACCTAAGTAATGATAACATTACCAGATATTAGCTGGACAACGTTGAAATTACAAAAGTCATTGCGAGAAAGATCTCGGACGAGGAAGGAGTTAGGGTGGGAAGCCAAATGAATGAAGTTGATAAAACTTTCACCACACTCGCCAACTGTAGCAAGAAACAACTAACCTAGAGGATGTTACCTCCAGGTTATCTGTTGTAACAATAACATAATTTCTAGGTTGATTTCCTGCTATAATTGTTATAATCAACCACAGGTCAGAACTACACTACTGACATTGTGACAAATTCTCACAACCAACTTTTCCAAAAAATTATTGGGATCGTCTCAAAGACCTCCAAATGTACTCCCTAGACAAAGACGACGAGAGATATCAAATACAGTAATACACTCGTAGAGGATACTGGAGGGCCAAGTACCAAATCTACACAGTAAAATAACAACATACTAGAGTGAACGATATGGAAGAAATGTAGAATAGAACCAGTGAAGAGCAGGGGTGCCATAGGCACAATCAGAGAACACTGTATAAACATCAGAGATCCGCAGTTGTTCAACACCCTCCCAGCGACCATGAGAAATGTTGCCGGAACAACTGTTCGACATCTTCAAGAGGAAACTAAACTCTTTCCTCCAAGGAGTGCTGGACCAACCGGGCTGTGGTGGATATGTGGGCCTGCGGGCCGCTCCAAGCAACAGCCTGGTGGACCAAACTCTCACAAGTCAAGAAGAACTCCCTGACAGGGGGAGTAGAAGAACTCCCTGACAGAACCCCATCAACCAGGTATGAAAACACCCACAACCTTATCTTCATAAACATTGAGGAAATAATCGGAGATTAAAATTTCAGATACTGTACTACATGCTCAGACCACAATCTCGCTGAAGTTCAATCTAACATACATACATACATACATATATATATATATATATATATATATATATATATATATATATATATGCAAACAAGCCTGAATGGTCCCCAGGACTATATACAACTGAAAACTCACACCCCAGAAGTGACTCGAACCCATACTCCCACAACTGGTATGTACAGGGACGCCTTAATCCGCTTGACCATCACGACCGGACATAAGGAAGTGATAGCCGAGGCTATATGAACCACTTCCCCGCCGGCACTCGGATGGTAATCTTGGGCATAGCATTTTATCAAATCACCTCATTCTTTGGGGCACACGTGAGGAACACAAATGCAAACAAGCCTGAATGGTCCCCAGGACTATATACAACTGAAAACTCACACCCCAGAAGTGACTCGAACCCATACTCCCACAACTGGTATGTACAGGGACGCCTTAATCCGCTTGACCATCACGACCGGACATAAGGAAGTGATAGCCGAGGCTATATGAACCACTTCCCCGCCGGCACTCGGATGGTAATCTTGGGCATAGCATTTTATCAAATCACCTCATTCTTTGGGGCACACGTGAGGAACACAAATGCAAACAAGCCTGAATGGTCCCCAGGACTATATACAACTGAAAACTCACACCCCAGAAGTGACTCGAACCCATACTCCCACAACTGGTATGTACAGGGACGCCTTAATCCGCTTGACCATCACGACCGGACATAAGGAAGTGATAGCCGAGGCTATATGAACCACTTCCCCGCCGGCACTCGGATGGTAATCTTGGGCATAGCATTTTATCAAATCACCTCATTCTTTGGGGCACACGTGAGGAACACAAATGCAAACAAGCCTGAATGGTCCCCAGGACTATATACAACTGAAAACTCACACCCCAGAAGTGACTCGAACCCATACTCCCACAACTGGTATGTACAGGGACGCCTTAATCCGCTTGACCATCACGACCGGACATAAGGAAGTGATAGCCGAGGCTATATGAACCACTTCCCCGCCGGCACTCGGATGGTAATCTTGGGCATAGCATTTTATCAAATCACCTCATTCTTTGGGGCACACGTGAGGAACACAAATGCAAACAAGCCTGAATGGTCCCCAGGACTATATACAACTGAAAACTCACACCCCAGAAGTGACTCGAACCCATACTCCCACAACTGGTATGTACAGGGACGCCTTAATCCGCTTGACCATCACGACCGGACATAAGGAAGTGATAGCCGAGGCTATATGAACCACTTCCCCGCCGGCACTCGGATGGTAATCTTGGGCATAGCATTTTATCAAATCACCTCATTCTTTGGGGCACACGTGAGGAACACAAATGCAAACAAGCCTGAATGGTCCCCAGGACTATATACATTTGGTCCCCAGGACTATATATATATATATATTTGATAAAATGCTATGCCCAAGATTACCATCCGAGTGCCGGCGGGGAAGTGGTTCATATAGCCTCGGCTATCACTTCCTTATGTCCGGTCGTGATGGTCAAGCGGATTAAGGCGTCCCTGTACATACCAGTTGTGGGAGTATGGGTTCGAGTCACTTCTGGGGTGTGAGTTTTCAGTTGTATATAGTCCTGGGGACCATTCAGGCTTGTTTGCATTTGTGTTCCTCACGTGTGCCCCAAAGAATGAGGTGATTTGATAAAATGCTATGCCCAAGATTACCATCCGAGTGCCGGCGGGGAAGTGGTTCATATAGCCTCGGCTATCACTTCCTTATGTCCGGTCGTGATGGTCAAGCGGATTAAGGCGTCCCTGTACATACCAGTTGTGGGAGTATGGGTTCGAGTCACTTCTGGGGTGTGAGTTTTCAGTTATATATATATATATATATATATATATATATATATATATATATATATATATATATATATATATATTATTATTATTATTATTATTATTATTATTATTATTATTATTATTATATATATATATATATATATATATATATATATATATATATATATCATCTCATTGCCTATGAGATATACATCATCTCATTGCCTGGGAGAGAATGGAGTTCTGTGGGTTAAATACCCCAGAATTCCTACCTCTCTTAATGGCTTTGAAGTATGGTGCAATGGATACAGTGTGTACCTGCCACTCTGTGGGCCAGGGTTCGAGTCTCCTGGTGGGTTGAGTGTTAAAAAGTTATAAACTTCAGCTTGCGAGTTATATAGGCAAGTCTGTGCATATATATATATATATATATATATATATATATAAATAAATTTTTTTTTTTTTTTTTCTTTTTATATCCAATATATATTATATATATATATATATGTATATATATATATACATATATATTTACTTTATTTGAACTTTGTTACAAAAAAGGAGTTACATATGGGTTACAAAGATGGTTGTCATAGGTTGTCGAGTTCCTCCAGCTCCTCAGATGGCGGGCAGGAACCCTGGATGCAGTGCGCATTTCCCCTCTGTATCGCCACACTGAGGCGCTGGAAAAGAAAGCTTGCAGCTCTCGGGTCCCTTGTTGTTTCAATGAGCCTAGAACCCAGTTCCTTCAAAAAACTGGTAGCACTTTTACCCCAGGCGCCGAGCGTCTCAGTAGCAATGGGGACAAAATTGTAGTGGTGATCCAGTTCTCTATACTTACGGGATTTGGCTGCTTCCCTGTGGGTGGCAGCGCCACCTGGTTGTGCAACACTGAGGTTAATGTAGGTGTTAGCCAGGGTTGATACGCACGTGTAGTCCCATACCAACTGCTTGCCATTCTTCCAGGGGTTCACTGTGATACCATCCGGGCGACCAATAAGAGCATCAGAGTTACGGGGCGTTAGGTAACGGGGCTCTCTTTCAGCTGGGCATCCAGCTGTAGTGAGGCTCCTCTTGATGATGTCGTTAACTTCACTGTGCCTCGAGTGCCATCCCCCTGTGCTTTGGCAGAGTAGGCCATGGTGACCGTACCTGTCAGCCACCACCTCGCCGCAAATACACCTATATCTGGTGTGGATTGGGGCAGCAAGGCGGAGGGCCACAGCAATTCGGAGGGCGTGTGGTGTGAGACGCGTGCCAGTTGCCGACATTGGGGTTGCTAACAGGAAATCCCCTGCATGTGGTGCTGCTACTGCTGTGAGGCGAGCAATGTCGTGTTGTGTTGTTGCAGCACCCAGGCACTCTGCAGCAACTTGGTCTACAATGGGACCATCCCAGCTGGATTGCTTGTGGGATTTTGGGGATGGTGGTTGAGGTGATTGGCCTGCACGAGAGGCCCACTCTGTGGCACAGCGTGTAAAATTGGGATCATGTACACCTGCCAGCTGATGTAAGTGGGCAGGTAGAATTTCCTTCACAAGGTCGTCGGATGCTGATAAGG